TTAACTGCGGTAAGTACAAACTGATCAGCAGACACCTAGAACATAATTTTAATGACTCATTTTATTTTGAGTTTGCAAATATGAACAAAGCTACAGAGCATATAAAATGTCAAGGGTATATATTTTATGTATATTTAGATGATACCTTATATAAAGTGTTATGAAATGAAATTGTAAATGTGTTTCCCTCAGTTTTGGTTTGTGATCCGGATTTGTTTTAGTTAAATCGATTTATGACTATTGGACAGCGGTATACTACTATTGCCTTTATTTATTAACTGACATTTTCCTTGCAAAATGAAGACCTCTATCATGCAAATGGTAAAATAACGAAAATACCGAACTCCTAGGAAGCTCAAATCGGAATGTCCGATATCAAATGGCAAAATCAAAAGCTCATACACATCAAATGAATGGTAAACAACTGTAATTTTCCTGACTTGGTACAGGAATTTCCTTATGTAGAAAATGGTGGAATAAACTGGGTTTTATAGCTAGCTAAAGAGCTTTAATTGGCCATTCTTCTGACTGGTAAATTAATGCGACAGGCGTTAGAGATGTTCAAATACTGTTAATTGTTTGAGAAGAGACAAATAAAGGTGACTAACAAAGTCTGATGGAATCTAATGAACTCTAAAAGAAATAAGACCAGTGCGTTGTTCTTTGGTTGCTTCTATTGCATTATCCAAATAAGTGACTTCCAAGTGATTTTCACATGCAATGTGTGGTAACATCTGTGTATGGTCATAGAACCATATGCAACTATTGTCACCCAGTAACACACGCAATCCAGGTTAATATAGCCGTGGTATCCCTTTAATGTGAAGTCAAGTGCTGCCTTTATCCTTAGGATGTACGATTTATAACTTAAAACTGTATGAAAGGAGGTTTTTGAGTAGATAGAGCATCATATTGATTTAAACACTAAAGACCCAATTACAGCTGGAAAGATCAAAATATAAGTGGAAATGAAAAGTGTAAAGCTCCAAATAACCTTCAATTCTAATAAAGTGATAAACGCATTTAACAGGGATCATCAACACAAAATTCGTTAAAGGATAAAAAGTATATAAACCCCGTTTTGAATTCTAATTGTAATACAGCATATATTACCGTACGTCGTTGAAATCATTAAAAGCAAGAAAAAAGGTAAATAAAGGACAAACAAATAGTACCATTTCAAAAATTGAAATTACAAAATTGGTATTAATTCAACAAAGATAATACGCTATAATAAAACAGCAACATTACGATTAACATTAGTATAACCTATCTTTTTAAACATATAAAGCTGTGGTACAAGATCTGAAATTTGGCGTCTGTTTAATCGTTGGAAGAATAACGTGTGGTCTTTGATGAGTTTTTTTTATAGCGAATTTGATTGATTTCGTTTGAAAATTTTATAAAAAAAACCCTTTATTGGCACACAACTTCTAAATTAAATTTTGATTTAACATTGTCTTCAAACAATCATAATTTTGCAATGACAAAGTGCTGGGACACAAACCTGACATAAATGTACCAGAATATATGTATGTACATAGCTTATATAATTTTCAACGGTTATTTCCCGCTTCAAAAATTAATTGTTGTAATGTGTTCCCGATTCATGACAATCGGAGACACTTTATTCTACTTATTTTTTTATGATTTCATATTCAGTGTTACTTTCGACAAGAAAGAAGGAGTGTATCGATTGAACAATAGACAACGAAATAGTACTATATATGTTTGTTGCAGGTGGTACCAAAACACAAATTCTCCTACAACACTGGTTATTATCTATGTTTCTTTACAGTTTGTAAATTAGTTAGTTGTATGTTTCAATGGAACTACAAAGTAGCAATAAACTTTTACAAACACTTGAAGCTGTAGAGACCACCATGCGACCTTTGTAATGATTAAGCGCCATTTCCGTTAGGAGGTTGGACTTGATTAGGGCGCTGTATATCATTCAATCTATCGCATCAATGTATGTCATTTACATCATTGTCTGCGGTATCATAAACATGCTGATTGCCTTGTCCATCCTTTAAAAGGCTTTGGTTTGGCATCTCACTTAGTGTAGACGTGTTTTGATATTCATTTACTGGAATTTGTATATTAAAATTATGCTTATTTGAATGTATCGAAGTATCATCTATGACATCATACAAAGAGCATTCAGCATGTGGTTCCATGTTTATGTTTATATCTGCATTACTTATAAATGGATAATATTGTTGTCTTTCGATGTTGTCAATAACAACATATTCTGATGAAACCTCTGGCGTGTCGTATGGTATTGAATGTAAGCTTCGTCTGTCAACTTTTCTAGCCATCCTTGATTTTAAGCACTTTGTAACAATAATTAATGAAAGTGCAAAGACTCCACTGACAATTCCAATCGTCACTATCACCATTATGTCTGAAAAATATTACACGATGAAAGATATCATTTTTGTGCTAAGAAATTTTATAGTTTTCCAAATATTTAGATTCGAGCGCTACTGTTTAGTCTTTTGTGACTACGAAACGCCCATCTGGCATAATTTATAAATCGTATGCCAAGAACTTCGATATGATTTGTCTCACTAAAGTTTGCTGAAATAGAACAACTGAGAAACATCTCAAAATATAGAATATGCTCAGGTTTTCTATAAAACGAATTTGTGTTGTTTTTGAAATTCTCCAGGATCGGATTATCCTTAAGAATCAATGCCATTTGACTGTTTCCCATAATTCGTCAATTTAATAATCAATGATTATATTTTATATTTCTTAAGAAGAATTCTTTTTAAGCAGCCATGATATCTTTTATATTTCTATTTAAAAAAAAAACATTAAGTTTACACAACCGTTTAAAATATTTATTTCATACCTGCAATTTTCTCCCTGCTGAAACAAGCTTTAACCTTTTCACAACTGAAACACATAAAAAATAGCTATATTTACTAATGTGACGAAATAGTTCATATACCTTTTTTATTTCAAAAACTTGACTTAAACACAACAAAGGGATAAGTTTTCCTATACATGTATATAAAGAAAATGTACAGCATCTTTTGAGAATATGAACGTTATAAGAAAACGTATAGCACCGACTTCCATGCGTACGTATTTCTAGAATTATCTTCCCCTGCTCCATGTTCACCAAAGGTCAGTAGTTTTGAAGAACACAGATAAAACGATTGAAAATTAGCACAAAAAGAACTAAAGTAGCTACGTAAAAAACGTCTAGGTTTGATTCACTATTTTCTACATAAGAAAATGCCTGTACCAAGTCAGGAATATGACAAGTTGTTTTCTATTCGTTTTATGTATTTGAGCTTTGATTTTGCCATATTATAAAGGACTTTCCGTTTTGAATTTTCCTTGGAATTGGGGTATTAGACATTTAGACAATTTTAACGTTTCCATGAAAAGTCCATACACAATGCACTATCTGAAGCATTGAAATTGTCGGTTTAAGATCTAAATGAAACTCAATTTATATATTGAATGTTTGCAACTATTTTCTATATCACATTAGATAAAATAAGTTATACATATACTAATAAGTTGGTGATCCTTACGAATCTTTTGTGGTACAGTTGCAATTAGACTGACATCTTATATCTTGAAAGTTACTCTGGCATTCATCACTGCAATTGGCTAGGTATTTTCCACTATGACACTCTAAAAGAAATAGAAGAGTCCATGGAAAGATATGTACGAAGTGTCTTTGAAAGATTGGACTATACTATTTCCGGAAAGATTCTCATTCAGGAAATCGATTCGCAACGAATAGGAAAAATACCCCAATCTATTATATTTTAATGGATTTCTGAAAACGTTTTGCAAGGTGCTGAGCACATAATTATCTAAATACAGAACAAGATGTAAATGTAAGTTTGTTTTCGCTTTAGCTTAATATTTACTGTTTTTTTTATTGAATATTGATTATTTTTCATAATGCTTTCTTGTTCTCTTAAATACAATGTAAATGTTTTCATTTTGGACCTCATTAAGGCTTTCGACGTCCTCCGTATGTAGAAAATTAGTTTTGCGTGCTTAATCTCAGATCGAAAGTTTTTTTTTAATAAGTTTTTTTTGTCTAAAAAGGCACTGGCAGCATATTAATATAATTATGAGGAAATACTATATAAATTATAGAACAACATTGAAATGACATGTTTCACCAATGTCTAAGGTTATTGGGGGGGGGGGGGATTTGGCGCCAGCAAACGTCGCCACATTCGTTATGTGTCTGTCCTCATTCATGAGCATGTAGTTCAGTGGTTGTCTTTGGTTCATGTCTGTCATATTTTTTTTTCGTAAATTCTTTTGTAAAAAGTTAGGCTGTGAGTTTTCACTCTTGGATTGTTTCATATTTTTCATGTAGAGGCCTTAAATAGCCGACTATACGGTATGGGTTTTTGAAGGCCGTACGGTTACCTATAATTGCTTACATCCACTTCATTTGAACTTTGGTGGTTAGTTGTCTCATTAGCAATCATACCACATCTCCTTATTTTTATAACATAAGGAAAGGAACTGAAAGGTTGCAAGGCGCTACATACCAATTATTCAAAAGAGGTTTGTTTTTTTATTTATCTTTTAGAAGGAGAAAAAAAAAAACCCAACGGTTTAAATAACGGAATAAAACTCTGGATTAATAAAATACAGGATCAAGAGAAACTTAATCTTACCTTGTGGTTGAACAGAAACACATCCTGTGGCTCTGTCACATCTATGAAAATATAAATATTGCAAATATCGTAAATGGACATATTCATCATTATAATGCATATTCTGATATCCCAGAAAAAAACAGGCATTATAAGGTGAACTCATTTTTTCTTCGAGTCGCAGAACTTAACCAACCTAGATCCTTTCATCAAAGGACTTTACATTATTTCGAATCTGCTATAAATATGAGCCCAACTTAATTTTTTTTATCAGATTCCAGTTTTTAACACTTTTGTTACATGTGATATACACTTGCTATAAGAATCGTTTTTTAAAATAAAAGTAAATTTTCTCACCTTTCGCCATCCATACAATTACAGGCAAAATTACACGCAACACCATAGAAGTTAGGTGCACAAATTTCTTTACAATTTTCTCCAAAAGTCCCTGCATGACACACTGATAAAGAAAAACAAGTGATATTTAATATGCATTCTCTTTAATGAAGTTTCTCAATTACATTTTCACGGCCACCAAGTTCTTGCTTTAAGCTAAATAATAGCTACTTTTTTAATATAAGGTAAATGTCAGTTACTGTATTCAGTTGCAGCATATCATGTTTGTACATTTTATTTCGCTATTGTTTTGTTCAGTTTAATCTTGTGTTGTGCTATTGTATCACTGTCCCCGGTTTCGGTGATTTGGGCAATGATCCCAACCATGTCTAGCTCAGTCTTGTTATATATGTGCCTATCCCAAGTCGGGAACATGTATTACAGCGGTTAGCGTTTGTAGGTGTATTTTATATTTGTTTTTATAGTTTTTATATAGTATGTTACATAAATAAGACTGTAATTTTTCTCGAATATTTTTTTTTTACATTTGTAAAGTTGGGGCGTTTTTATAGCATGCAATGAGGCATGGATTTTGCCCAAAGTTTTTGATAAATTTAACGTTCGCCAATGAAATATTTTATTTCTTAACTATAACCAAATTGTCATTTTTAACCTTTTAACTTGATTGTCGCACCGTCGACTATTATTTTAATTCTAGCACATGAAACTTGTTATTATTACTTAAGTGTTGTATTCATATCTAGACATTTTGAAAATAAACGACAATTGATGGTCCAAAATATCAAGCGAGGAAAACTAATTTCATTATATCTCAAACAAACAAATATAAATGATAATGCAAATACTAAATCAAATTGGACACATAAAGGTTGTGCCATATACGACTAAAAATATGAAATTTTAAAATAACGTAGTTTATATATTTTTTAATATTACCTGTACATCTGTCATCTGCTTGATCATAAAAATACCCCTGACAGCATGTCACATAAATTGTGCCGTCTCCACTGAAAGAAATCACAGCTACGGTTACAATTCTTCAACTTTTACAGCCAGTTACAGAAAAAAACTAAAGGTCCCTCACAGAAACTGTACTTCAACGTAGTTTTATTCCAACACATTTCTCTAATGTGACTGTTGGATAAATGTTACGGTAAAAATTGACATTTTTTAAAAATTGTAAGATGTTGTAATTTCTTATCAGCAGGTTAAGTACCCTGAGTTTTCAGTTACTGCGATCAATGTATTAAAATGTCTTACCCTAAACAACAAAAAAATTCATAAACAATTGGTATATTCAAGTCGTCTTAACGATTCATCCTTCATGATTTTTTATGAACTTATTTTCAAATGGTTTTAACTAACAACTCATTTGTGCTAACAAACATAATGTTGAATGAAATGTTAATGTATAATATTTTAAGTGCAATGCAGACTCTTTTAAGAATTAATTCTACTAGCTATATCAGCGATATTCCTTGTTTAATGGTACATGTACCACACTCCACTCCCTTTACCTTTCAGAGCACCTGCTTCAAGACTATTTGATATATGATAACATTGTACAGATAAGTATACATATGCCATTACATGAATGGGTTTCATGCTAATTATACTAGACAATGTATTTCACCATCCTTCGTAACACAGGTAGACCCATACATGATCTCAAAATTGCTAAGGGTGAAAGGACAACCCTTTTATGTCTTAAGTAGCATGCATTCACATTAATTTATTAATTTCTAATCTTATAGAGCCAGAAAAAATATAATATAAAATGAAAACAAAATTATGATATTACTCATATTTTGTTATCTGAGAAACAATAATTTATAATTACATTGTTATGAGATACGTAAAACTTGTAACTTACTTTGGTTTCGGGCACACCCCAGAATCATTGACTTGAAGTGCAGTAAATGTATCCAAATATACAGATAGTTGTAAACAGTTAACAATTAGGATTCCGACTTTGTAACTAAATCCATTTCGGCATAACATTATGCTGACAATGGTTTTCTGTTTTTTTTTCAACGGTTCGGACTGTATAATGTATAATCGAATTAAAATTAATGAATTTCCGGTTAAATTTTCAAAAAGCCTAATATGTTGTGAGCTTTGTTAAAAAACAAACTTCCTTTAACATTGCACGTAATAGTCGATCAGGTTATTCGGAGTTTGTTCAAACAAATTAATTTCAAAAATTTTAAAGTAAAAAAAGGCACCTCGCGATATGAGTATGCGCTTCATTTTAACGAATTTGATTTTTTTTACAGCAAATGTACAAATGTACCATAAGGGACAAATAGTTAAAATCTAAGATAGAGTTTGTTATCATTAAAAGTATGCTTTTTATGAATAAAATAGTATGTAGGGTTGCATATCAACGACACATAATAATCAAGAGACATTGTATATAAAGTATGTCATGCTCTAAATCGGTTGTACTTTGGATAATACATAACAATGATACACTCATATACTAAACAAAGTGCAACATACCACATCATCAACCGACACGCTATTCCGAGAGAAAAAGACAAACAACAACACATGGTCCAGATAGCCTGACTTATATAATAATAAGAAGATGTGGTATGCTTGCCAATAAGACGAACTATCCACCAAAGTTCAAATGAAGTGGATGTCAGCAATTATAGGAAATCGCATGACCTTCACCATTTAGAAAAAATCCATACCTTATAGTCGGCAAAAAAAGCCTGACATGAAAAATAAGAAACATTTCAATTGAGAAAACTAACAGCTAAATTAATAACAAAACAATTTACGAATAACAAATATGACCGACCTGAACAAACGACAACCACTGAACTACAGGCGCTTGACTAAGGACATGCACATAAAGTATGTGACGAAGTTAAATATATTTATGAGCGCTCAACCCTCCCCTAACTTGGGTCTGTGGTGTAACAGCACAACAAAAGAACAAACTATACAAATCAGTTGAAAAAAAAACCAAACAGAAACATCAAACAAAAACACAGACAGGACGTGGCAGGGTATATAGATATAGGAAGATGTGGTATGAGTGCCAATGAGACAACATCCCTCATCCCTAACAACAAAAAAGACAAAAAGTACAGATCTGAGAGTACTTGCAGTTTCTGATAGCTAATTCAAAGCCAATTACAACTAATCAAATAATTTAAAAAATGTATCAAAAACTAAAATATCAACCATTACATATCCAACATCTAATGGATTTAGTGTAAAGACGTCATTTACAGTCAGAGAAAAATATGACCTTGTGAAATGCCAAAAATATAGGTATCGACAGGCTGTAGTACCGTGAATTTACCTGATGTGTAACATTTAGTATGGTTTCAATTTACTGATAACAAAATCAATATTCATACTAATATAAACAATATTCAAAGATTTGATGACAATTGTGATTTTTTTATTTTTTTTACCGACTGACGCCTTTCAATCCTGCGTAAACATCTATCTTAAGTCATGATGTTTCAAAATCTGCAAAAATTCTAGTACGTTATCACTAGAATTTGTCCACAAGATGAAGAGACATGACTAATATCATAGTTTTTAATTCTGTTCGATCCCAAAAAATAAGCTTAAAGCTAAACACCTGCTCTCCTAAGTCATACCATCGACCATCTTACACAAACCATCATTAGTTGATTGACCGTAATGGAATATCTGTGTCACAGATAAATAACACGAATTTACATCTATCATATCGGACTTTGCCCGTCACAGACGTCTTAGTAGGGTTTGCATAAGAAAAGTTTTAACTGGGAAATAAATCCCTCAAACAAGTGTATTGATGCAATCAATAAACAAATGTAGGCAATATCGTTCTTCTTAAAGCAGTCTTATAAAAAATGTCTCCCTATTTTAGAGCCAGTCTGTTCATACAGCCAATTATACCTACACAAACCTTTTTGGATTTGCATATTCAACAATAAATACGTGATATGGATCTCAGTATTGACGACTTCGAGTTAAAACCTCCTGATTGCATCTGTGCAGCTTTCAAATTGATATGAAATCTGTCTGTCTACGTTGTTATTGGTGATATGAAAATTGTCAACAGCTCTACCTTGCAAAATAGGTTAACTTTAAGGCCGAAGTAATGTGAATTTCAAGATTTTATATCAAACAATTCATTTGCACTAATATCAAATTTTCCTTGTCTTCTTGTTTTCTTGTTCACACAGCTTTTCAGTTTGCTGTGTAGTGGTAATTTAAGCATGGATACACATATATATTAAATTTTGCAAATCGACCAAATATGGTCTTTTGCGAGTGTTGCTTACTTTGCAGTCATTAGAATTTGTCGCTCAATTTTGTGGGGTCGACATCATGAATGTGCCCAAGCATTCTAATCAAAATTGCCCACTTCTATGTTTCTTATTTATTTATTTGAATTTGCAATTACACATTGCAATAGTGAACATTATTTACCTGTTTCTTACTAAATTCATGAACTTGTAGGTGTAAAAATTGACCGTATAGATAAATTTGCGCTTTTAATATTGATGCATTTAATAATACTTTGAATTTGATTTTTATCATAAACGTATGATAGCATTTAAATTAAAGGTATATGGCAAAAATGACTATGCATTATGAACTAAATGATACAGTAATTCCAATAAACTGATTCAGACATTTTGAGGTCAATTTGCAAATTATCCAGGCCATAGACAGTTGTGAAGAGATTTTACAGTGACTTTTAACTATCTTTAATTAACACTAGATTCTTTACTGAATTGCCATATTTTGTCTACCATTTACACACACATATTGTTATTGTAAGGCGTATATTGCATGTTGTCTTCAAAATTACGTCGTTATTTTGCTTTGTGTTCTTGTAAGATTTTTGAAATATTCATTGTTTTTAGATGACTACGGATAACGAAAATATATCCTGTGTGAGATAGTTCTAAAGTTCAGCAGCGGCGTATTAGTGCCAGCAGTCAATGTTGATTCCTGTCATGAATTTATAGTGTAATCAAGTATTTCTATGACTGAATATATTCATGAAGCTAATCTAAACTAAACACATGTTTGTTCCCTGCCAAATGAGGAACCGTATCAACTTTTGATCTCAAAGTGTTTTTCTGTTCATTGTACCATTGTTTATTTTCTATTCTTTATTCTTTTTAAAACATGTAAGTTATTTTTCAATATCAGATAAATTGATCAGATATGAATTGGGAATTAACTTTAAAATGTTTATCGGGAACTAGGACCGAATTGGATATAATAGAGTCCCAACGTCAGTTTAAAGTAGATTTTATTTGAATTGCAATAAAGCATATGTTTTCACTTACTTTTTTATACTATTCAATATCAGTTTAAATGTTTCTCTGTAGGATTCTCGAATTGTTTTTTTCTTTTTTATAATTATAGTAGTCCAAATCAATTTCCGAGAAACTGAGATTTGAACGTTCACAAGCACAAACAGTTTTGATTGATTGATAATCAGTGTGTTTTTGAAGTAAGTTAAGTACAGAGTTTATCTCTTTTTCATTCAGTCCATACATAGCAACTTTAGAAGGAAAAGATATTCCTGAAACATAAAAAAATAAAAATTTACAATGTTTGATAACTTCTTGTAATGGAATCTTTTCCGTCGATGGAAAGACATCCTTAAACGATTCAATAGTAACATCGTAGTAATGGAAATCGTTGGCGATTAATGTAAGGTGACCTTTATAGATGCCTGTCACATTGTAGTAGTCCTCGTCACTGTGCAGAATAATTATATCTGAAATATAATCAAACTATTGCATACAATTTCTGTTTTAAATCATATTTTCTATAATATTCTTATTATGTAATTTATAACTTTAATAACATTTTGACAATGTGATTTTAGCGTACAAGTCTGATGTATTTTAAGAATCAAGAAACAGTCTGTATTAAGGTCAAGTAACAGAAAAAAGTCGACTTCAGATTTTGTATTAAACATGAATATGTTGATCTCTACATAAAATATAAAAATGATTGATTTTAAAAAAATCTGAGTAAATATTTTTTTTTATTGAGAATGTGCTTCTACATGTTTTTTCGTTGTTGTTTTTTTTTTCGTTTTTTATAAGGTGTCCGTTGTATTGAAGTTCGTGAGAAAAAAAATTTCTTAATATAAAAAATAAGAAATCCGTGAATGTTTCTAAAAATATTCTAGCTTCTAGAAAAAAATGTTTTTAAGATGTAAAATAGTCATAGGGTCACTGACGTTTCATAGTATTATTACATTCCTTGCAAATGCACAGTATTAGTATAAGATAACAAATTCAATCATATTTCAAATGTTTTCACGCTCAGATATTCAATGAAATATTCTTTATTTTTTGTTTAAGAATTACACATAAGACCATACAAAATATTATTTATGCAGCAAAATTCCTGCAATCTGATTGGTTAATTACCCCGATGTAAATAACACCCCGTCCTTGTTCACTACGGGATAAATAAAATACTGCCAAAAATTCCAAAATTGCCAAAATAAAATGTCAAAAATAAAAAATAAAAAACAAATAAATTCGAGGATAAAAAAATAAAGAAAAATTAATTTTAAAAATATTTTCCCCTAAAATAGATCACCTAAAATAAAGAAAAAAAAATATTTGACAGTGCACAGCAACATCGACGGTGAAAAAATGTTACACTGGAAAATTATCATTAGCAATTTTCAATTTTGCATCCCGGTTTAAGAATGAGTAAATGAATTGTTCGTAAGAAATAAATTATTTTGGTGTAACCAGGGTTGTACGGAATTTTACACCGGTGTTGAAAATGCATACACCGGTGTAAAATTCTGTACACCCCTGATTACACCAAGATAACCAAATTATACTCTCGCAGGTTATACGACGTTGTTACACAAAATAATCACCTTATTTTTTTTCCAAAAGAATATTAAATGAAGTTGATGGAGAAACGGTTTTTTTTTTATACTTGTTATTTACTTTTTTTGTTAGAAAGTCTTTCCTTTGAAATGCAACTGACATCTTCGTTTCTTTTATTTATTTCT